GTGAGAGAGAGAGAGAGGGAGAGAGAGGGAGAGAGAGGGAGGGAGCAGAGAGAGGGAGGGAGCAGAGGGAGGGAGAGAGAGAGAGAGAGGGAGAGAATTCTGGAAGCTTCTGCTCGAGAGAGAAGTCTTTGTGAGTGTAATGTGATTCATGAGGAAACGTTAGGAAATGATTAATGGAATGTTTGAGTCTGATAAATTCACAATGGGAAGTATTTAACTATTGCGATTTCATGCTGAGCAGAGAAGCACAGCTGTTTCTTCGGCATTACTAGGGGAGCGAGTGAGGTTTTCTTTATTTTCTTAACCTTGTTTCTCGGAATTGTCCGGATGTGCAGGGGTGTGGGTGTGTGGGTGTGGGTAGACAGAAATCTGGACGAGGCTTGTAGGACAGCAAGGGTTGCAGAGCTTCGGTGGCATTTGCAAAGTGCCATACACATCTTGATTGTTATAGCGTCTTCTAATGTCACTTCACATCACGTCCCGTCCCGTCCCGTCCCGTCATGTTCCGTCACGTCGTGTCACATCCCGCCCCGTCCTGTCCCGCCCCGTCATGTCACGGCACGTGTCACAAGCTTTTCAGTTTCCCATCTTGTAGGGTTAAGTTGGCGGCCCCAAAAAAAGGGCGGGGTAGGTTGGCGACGATATGTTCCGTGTGTTGGAAACATGGTTATCTGAACAGCTTGTCGTGTTTTGGAAGCGTGAAATCTTTTGCAAGGAAGAGACGTCGTTTCTTCATTCGCTCGATTTGCGATGTTCGTTGGATTCATCTCTTCGTGCTAGCCACACATGATTCACTTACCCCATGTTGGCCCTCTTCATTGCATTGTCAGAAATGGTTCTGATTTTTCTGTGATTGTGCTCATCACAAGTGGTTACGCATTTCGGAAACGCGGCGGCTTTGACAGCTGGCTGCCCTCCACGGCTTTGTCCCTAGGCTTAAAAAAAAAAAAAAAAAAAAAAAAAAAAGGATATTATGCTAGAACGTGGAATAATACGCCGCGATATGTTTTGTCGTTTGTGCATGTGGTAAGTAGAGGCACTTAGGGCCACTGCACGTACTCCTAAGAAAAGAAAAACAAGAAAAAAAAAAAAGAAAAAAAAAACAGAAAACAAAAGAAAAACAAAAAAACAAAGAATTAGTGACCATTATATGTGCTTAGTGTGGTGCACAGACCTGAATTCGAATCCAGAGTATATATTCTCAACGCACGCACACAGATTACAAGTCCAATGTCCATCTCTACTCCATGAAGGGTCCTTGCTAATATGTAGGGGACCTTCGGAAATGGGACTAGACGAATAGATTGGAGCATTTGGTAAAAAACAAAAAAAAGGACATGCACCCACATGCACACACATGTGCTCACAGTGTTCGAAATGGAGGCGCATGTTTGGCCACCCCACCCTGTTAATAGGGGTCACAGTTTTTTTTTCCCGTTTCTAGTGTTTGGGCATCTAGGGTCTGTGTGACCGGTTGAACGCGTTAAACTTGCGTTCACGTTCAAACGCGCGCGTTCATACCCCTCGGGGCCACGTTCAATCGCGTTCAAACGCGTTGCTCGTCAAGTGTCGCGAAAAAATTGAACGCGACCCCGGGAGGCGCGCGTACACGTTGCGGTCTACGGGGTGGTGGGCCTCGTTTCTTTTGTGCATGTGGTGAGTTGAGGGCCTTAGGGCCACTACACGTATTTCTAAGAAAAGAAAAACGAGAAAAAATTCTCCTTTTTCTTTTTTCTCATTTTTTTTCTTCTCATTTTTCTTTTTTTCTCGTTTTTCTTTTCTTAGGAACTGATATTTGGTATCTTCGTGTTCTGTAACTGAAGGCATTTGTAGGCTAGATTCACCCTTTTTTTTTTTTTTTTTTTTTTTT